CTTTTTTTTTTTTTTTTTTAATAAGTTACAATATAATTAAGACATCAATCAAGTGATTTTATACGTGTTTTAATAACGTTAAAAAAAAAGAATTATAAAACAAAAGAGAGTAGAAAAAATATCTAAAATCGAGATGTCTTCAATAATTTGTTTTTTTGTTGGACTATTATGTTTAAAGAGTTGCTTCAAGTAACCTACAACTTTTTGGAAAGCTCAATTTGGATAAGCTACTTTTAAAAAATGTTCAAAACTTAATTTTCCTATAAAGAGGAAAAAATGGCTGGTGAATTCAGTGTCTCTACATTTTTAACCATTCGAATTTACGGACTTTTACAACACAATTAAAATACATTTTTAATTAACATTTAGTTACAACCTTGAAAATTTATTTTAATAATACATGAGAGACATTTATCAATTTTAAAAGTTCAAAATTAGTCGAAAACTGGTGGAATCATCCCAAGTCCAGCTGATTCCTATTTAGGTACANATAAAGAAATAATTTCCAAAACTTTTTAATTTTCTAATTTAACAAAGAAATTTCATTCAAAAAATAAAAATTTTCGTTTTCACACGCTAGAATTCGACAGCACCTGAGATTTTCTAACAATAAATATCTACATAACACCCACATTTTGCATTCCATCAAGCTAAAAGTTTTTAATTCCAAGACTCCGCACTGACAGTGGGATAAATCATAACGAAAAATAAGGTGTTCAAATTAAACAATAGATCGACCGTCGAAGCGAGCATTGAGATTGATCATTCGCACGCACATGAGTTTTCGTAGAAGCGAAGCGCAGGATAATAATAACGCGTGCATGTCGTATCAAAGAATCTCTCATCGCGTATACCATTGTGGATATTTATGAGTAATATGCGCCGTGGATCTCTTCGCAGGTACGGCGTTCACGGTCGGATGGGAGAACGTCCACTTGCAAGATAAGCCGGAGGCCGGACCGTTCACGTTCCAGGTGACGCTCATGCAAAACGGTGACATCATTTTTGTGTACTCGAAGATACCGGTCCTCGTGGAAAATATCGAGGACAAGGAGCATCCCGTTAAAATCGGCCTCAGCGACGCCTACATGATGGACAACACTGTTTTCTGTGAGTTTTTTTTTCTGTTTTCTTTTTCATGATATATTCATGATTCAGACGGTATATCTCCATCAATAGCTTCAAAAAATTATAAAACAGAGGGAATCACAGTTGAAAAGAAACTTTTGCGTTTCAATGTACTATTTAAGAAAACAAACCCATACCGTTATTTTGTTGTTTTGTTTCAATTATTTTTTCATATGCAAATCTGAATCCACTATTTTTTGCACTTTACTTTATTTTACTTATAATCGCAGTTACTCTCGTGTGTTTATGCAAACATTTATTTTTATGCGCATATTTTTATCAAGTGTCTAGCTCACCTAAGAAAAAAATAGTTCGTCTATTATTTTGCTTTTCCCTTTTTTGAAGGCATAGAAAATTTTACTCATTGTACGCCTCATTACCTTAAATCATGACACTCTCAATTACAGTCTTCACCATCCATTGTATCATAATTTAATGATTACGAATACTCCTCAGATGTTGCCGATGTTGAGAATTTAATCTTTAAAAAAAAGGGGGTTGTAACTCATACAAAAAATAATAAGTATGTTAACTGAAAAAAACATCATCTCTTACTGTTAAACATAAAAATAATGCAGAAAAAGTTAATTTATTAATTATTATTTTCAATTCTGCCTCCAACTTACCCTACACATTCACCAACACTCGTTCAATAAAAATACCACCAATTAAGTTCACAAAGTATATCATTAAAGTCGTATATATTTATATGACTGTTCCAAAATTTGCGATGCACACTAACAAGAGGTGATATTCGCCATCATGACTACACCTGTCGGCTCACATCTTTCAAAAACGTACCCTGGCCTAGTGCCAGTTTCTATAAATGGTTCTTACAAACGTGTACCTTTGGTCGCGACACACACGTCTGGCTCTTTTAACTTTACCGACTCAATCCCTTCGTACCTTTTTAGCTATCTTTTTCGAGGTGGGACGATGATCTTCCTCTTAGTGCATGGTTATAGCAAATTGATACCTGCTTGACTGAATTTATTTTTCATTGACTGTAAATAATGTATGAGTTATAAATTGTAGACAAAATAATAAACAAAATCCCCATTATCAAAGTTGCTTTTATCATACGTCAGTCAAGTTCTCCGTAATAAATTAATTGATTTTTCTTCTAATAACAAAAAAAAACAGTCGCACGTCGTAAGACGATCTACGAGTACCACCGAATGAACTTCAATAAGCAGGACATTAAGAATTGGACGGCAATCTACCTAAAAGCCCTACCAACCTGTTTGCAAATGGAAAACTGCAACGACTGCCTGACCAAAATCAAGGACTTTGACTGCAAGTGGTGCTCTAAGCTGCAAAAGTGCAGTACCGGGACGTTCCGCTTAAGGCAGGAGTGGCTGCAGAAGGGCTGCGACGTAAGCAATATCAAAGAACTGGATAAGTGTCCCGATCCTAGCCTTGGCCACAAACTCCACGACACTCACGTTGAAGATCATCGTACCGATGACATGCCCTCGATGACAAAGTACAGCTCGAATCAAGCGGTCAGCAAGTCATTGGAGTCTATAGAAGATGGTACGTCTTATTTCTGTAGCTTTTTTTTCAGTAATAGAAAAACTAAATTTTCTAATTACATAGTATTAACTATTTTCGTTACCTTACATTGAGAAAGCTGCCCCAAGACAAAACAATACGAGATTACAAAGATCTTAATTTTGACCTTGAAAAATCTTGATACTATCATGATATACAATCAACATTTTGTCAAAAAATCTTAATCGTATTTTCAAATACTGAATTTATCTCTAACAGTAATAAATTTCTTATATTAAAAATCACGTATGTCACATGTGTAATGTTATAAATCACGTAATACACTTTTTTTTTTTTTTTTTTTTTTTTTTTTTTAAACAAAATAAGACAAGGTCAATATTTTTTTGAGTCTTGCAACAGCCCTACCTCACAACAAAAGTACTATTTTTTTATGCTTGTTTGCATGGACGTGTGAGCAAAAGAAAATGGATAGATAAACAATAAATAGTTGCACAAAAAGATAATAAATAAATTCTTATAAGAAATAGTCTGTAATGTCGCTAAATCGAAAGAAAAAAACTATTTCGTGGAAAAATAGCATTCTTAAACTTATACTGACGATAGAAGAAAATTACCTTTGAGTCTTGCGTCTGTACGCACAGCGGCAATCATTGCAATAAAATGTAACATGTAGCACCACTCGCTGTTGACCTTTTACTTTTGTTTCTCCCAAGAAGTAACTCGTTATACTCTATGGACATTTATTTTTAGCCCGAGACAACATGAACATGGGAGTTTCTGGAATCATCAGTATCCTCTTCATCGTGTCTCTCATCATGGGGTTGGCTGCATGGGCTGCATATGCCTACCGCAACCCCCACACAGCGTCTGGACAGATGCTCATTCGAGTAAGTACATTACATTTTCAACTTCCTTATGTATATTCGTTTGTTCGTTGTTTGATTACTTGCAATATTTAAATTGAGAATTTAAAAATTTTTGATAAATGTGCTGTTTTTCTTTTTATTTTACAGCAAATGGTAAATATTAAAATTTGTAAAGCACGATTATTTATAAGAAATAAATTTTCCATGTGCTTGATACAAACCTCATTTTATTTTCAACAATAAATAGTAGTCTCAATTTTTATCTTCTTTTAGAAAAATGAAATACAAAAAAAAATTTATTCGATGAATGTTGTATTGTGAGCATTGAATTTTTTATTTTAGAATGCACTATTTGCCAATAGTAATTTTAACTGTTAAAAAAAATCCATACTGAAAAAACTTGATATTTAATTATTTTACAGTAATTTTAATTTTAATTAAGAAAAATTTTGTATGAAAGTATGATACAAGCAAAAGTGTACATGTATCAATTGACACATAAAAGGTTCTTCTATAAACTCTAACTCAAATAATAAATTTCTTGATTTTTTAAATATGATTCAATGTTAAAAAAAATTGTAATTTTAAAACCATTGAAAATTTATTTTTACTGATTTTAATTAACTACTCCATTGTTTAAATACTTGACAATTTAATGTTATAATTTTTTCTATCAACGAATCTAAAAAAAATTTTTTTATACATTTCATTACGATAGTTGTTAGTGTTACTATAAGATAGTGAATGTTTTACGTTTCCAAAACATAATTATATGTTTTAAAATAATAATTTTTCAATATTTAAGTATAACAGTTGAAATAACTCAAAGTTTTAAAAATGAGTAAAGAGGTACTATACGCTTGTACTACCCAACATAAAAAAAAATTAAGAAACAGTGAGCGAATGAAAAAGAATTACATAAAAATGCGATGAATAAAAGTTTAGGGGTATAAGGGTAAATTTGGGCCACATAAGTAGGAGCTGTTTATTTTTTTTTCGTTTGACAATACATTACTTGATTGTATAAATTTTCAAGATGGTGATACTCATCAAATAATTTTCTTTTCCTCGATTCCAGTACCGACCAAGCCAGTGGAGTTGGCGACGAGGTGAGGCACGCTACACAGCAGCAACAATCCACATGTGATCCCACGACAATGGCAGTGGGCAGCAACAAACGCAGCTCAGCACCATAACATGAAAAATGTGTTTCCAGTCGAACTGTCAAACCAAACCCTACTATTCTCATCCCCCTCTATATTTAGTTCCCAATTTTCCCTGGAGAATCAATCACCTTTCAAGTGTCTTACAGAAAAAATGAACATTTTTTCTGCTTGGAGTTGAAAAACATGTGAATTTTCCGATAGTTATGGTGTCTATCCATATAATTGCATGCATCGCAAATGTATGATGACAAAAAAAGGGCATGAACATTGCGCAACTAGTTTAATGTGTTGATTAAGGAGTAGTGAGCGTATTGTTTACAAATATTTATACATATTACCCGTAAATTGTATTACAAATGTTTATATCCAGCGATGTTTCGTCGATAAAACTTCACATGTTGGCTTATAGATTTTAATTGAAATTGCTTACTATTCATGATAATGTTGATTACTAGAAACGTTTGTCAACACTTGGAAATTTATACGTTTATTCTGTGCATAGGCCAAAAGTACAAAGTTTATGAATCAACTTGACCACTTCAAAATAATATCAACATTTGCGTTAAATCCTCCCATTTGATCTTGATCCGCATTGTATTAACAGATCATGAATCATGATGAAGAAGTATAGGTTGATACAAGTACAAACTTAATCTGCAGAATCGACGAAACTCGTAGTGCCTTTATTGTAAAACTTAGTAAAAAAAGGTCTTAAATAAAGCACATGCATATCCAAGAAGATACGTTTACATACATACACGTGGGAACAAGCGATCAAGTTGATACCGTTTATTATGAATACATACGCAATAAATTTACAATGTGATGTTAGCAGCACGTCGTATATGTATAATTTTGTTATTGTTTAGGAATTCGTTTTTTTATCGTTAGAGAAATTAATGTAATTGTTTTATATATAATAATTATTATTATCATTATTATTACAACACATAATTATAACTATTATTATGATGATCTTGACATAAAAGGGAACACGAGATTCTTAAAACAATCATGTTCTTGCACAATTATCGTTCAGAAAATATGGCTTGACATTGTGATTGGATACTAATATTAATAATCAGAGTATCGTATGAAGAAAATTGTTGTTTTTGAAAATTTCGTCTTGTATACTCTAGTATAATAAGACAATTACAAATGTACATATAAGATGTGTGGAGTAGAAAATTACTTAATTCTTTTTACGTGTACGTCAAGCCGTGAAATGTAAAAACAAGTTATACACATGCTATAAATATAATGCAAGATTTATACAAATATATTTGATTGGATTTTGAATTAACTTTTCCGAATGCTTTGTTATAAAACACACTTGATATTAAAACAAAACGAATTATTTAACAACTATCGTGCATCGAATTGTGTTTTATAATTACTGTATATAGTAGCATTTATAAACAGCTATATGATTTTTACCTAATTTTTAAGTTAATATACTATGAGAGGTGCCTATTCTACATACAGTTAAACTTATTGTACACATTTTTAAAAAAGCAAATGTTTGATAACCCAAATTTACACAATCTAAAATATAAGTTTTCTATCTGTAAAAATAAGTACATTTTTTTACGCAGTCATATGAAAAAAAAAAGAAAAAAAATATGAACACTAAAAAAGTTACATTTTATACAAACAATACAGTATACATAGAGTCAATATTAAATTTTTTACTACAGAATTTTGTACGGATTTTTGAACGAACGACTTTCTTACTCGTGCACGTTTTTCATGATCCTGTTCTATTAAAGTCTTAAAATGAATTAGTTTTTGTGATGGAAATAATTATTGATTTTAGTCAATTTTTTATCAAACATTAATATACATAAAAACTTATATACTATTACTAAGGCACTAAAGTAAAAAAGAAACATATTATGTAAGTTTCATTTAAAAAAAAATGTGTGTTATGTAAGCTCCTAGTTTGTGATAAATAAATATTTTAATTGACATATTTAAATATCATATGCGTTTTATTCAAAAAATTTATATTGTATGCAATTAATAAAAAAAAGTTCTTTATCCTTAATGAGGTGGTGTAACGTACGATATGCAACGATGTTATTTATTTTTTTGTTTCTTTTCTAAAAAAATATTAAACAAAATAAGCAAGCTATTCCTGGGATAAGAATGAATAGAGAATGATCCGACGATATGCATTTTTTTACAAAACATTTTTTAAATTATTGTGAAAAAAATCATCACATCGTTTTATTATTTACTTTGGATGGTTTTAAGGATTACAGTAAAAGTGATATTAATACATCAAGGTAGAAATCGGTATGCAGTCTTTAAATATTATGAACTCACTCAAATTCAAAACAGGAAATTTTCTTTTTTATTATTACTATTTTTTTTTTAATCAACAGATAATTAGCTAATTTATGTTTGCAATTTCGGAGTTTCTACACCCCTAATTTAAAAACAAAAAATTTACTTGTAAAAATTAAAAAAAAAAAAATTTCTTGGTAATTTTTTTTCAAACATCAATTTTTTTCATTTCTTTATTTCTAATTTTCTGAAATTTTGATCTTAGAGATTTTTCAATCGAACTTTATTAAATTTTCAAGTAAAAGTTGTAAGAAAATGTTAATGTAGTTAAAAAAAATAAATTCGTCACACCTTTCAGTGTCACCACAGCATTATAGCAAAAACGATATTTCATATTATTAGAACTGGCTTAAAAAATTTACATATTTTTTATTAATAATATTTAACTACTAAAACTATTTCAATCAAATTCCTGAATAAAGTCTATACGAAAGGCGTTTTAATTTTTCTCGAAATTTTTCTAAATTTTACCAGACTATCAGTCCAGCAGACGACAACGGTAAGGTATGGTATATATATGCACATGTTGTTTTCATATACATCCGAAATTCGAAAGATATGGCTTCGCTAACAAAAGTTTTAAGACTTTCAAACTCAGTAAATAACGTTAAAAAATTATTTACTAACTTGTCGGTTTGTCAAAATGTTGTCCCATCGTTACATTCAAAAGTCCCAAATGTGTAAGTTGTCAGTTACCTGGATATCACTGTTTTCATTCAATTTAATGTCACATGCACTAAACAATGCTTTTTCCAATTAATTTCCAAATTAATCATCAAGCAAAAGTGATACATGAAGTAAAATCTTATTTAGAATGTTCGTTACAACAAATTTGGTCGTGTTTTTATTTGTTATTCCAATCAAAACCATCCATGATTCGTACAGGTTAGAAATGGCTGTTGTTATCACATTTTAGGCCCACAATCCCCAGGAGTGCATTGATACACACTTCTTCGAGGACAGATGACCTGATGGAATTCTTCGACAAAGACATCAACTGGACGAAGCAAAGAATTCAGGTTGGCCGTTCATGGAGCACTGATGAGCTACGCATCAAAAGCAATGAAGATTTGCACAAGCTCTGGTATGATTCCCAGTATTAAATACCAATAAAGAACAGTGTTCCTTCAGCTCGTTTGATTTTGGTGATTTTACTTCGATTTCAAGGTATGTGTTGTTAAAAGAAAAAAATATGCTCCTGACCATGGAACATGCTTGCAACGAAGCCTATGAACTATTTCCAAATCCAGAGAGGCTGGACAAAGTCGAGGAGAGCATGAAAAATTTGGAAACAGTTGTGCGAGAAAGAAATGAAGCCTATTACCAGCTAGAAACTGGACAGACTGGAGAAGTGCCATCAAAAATTGTTAATAATGTACTAGGTAACATTTCCTTTTGTATCAGCTTGTTCGAAGAGTCACTTATAAAACTACAAACTTGCATGAAATTCATGTCATGCATTTCTAATTCAATTATTTCTAGGCCTGAGGCAATACTATAGATTTTCACAACATGTGATACCCAAAGGAATAAATCAAACTTGGAAGAAAAAATACTTATTTGGATATGGTGGTCATGCAGTAAGGAAATTCCTGTTGAAATACCGTGAAAACATATGGAATGAGAAAAGAAAGAGAAATAAGTATGCATCTTTTATGATGTTGATTACATTCTATCTTTCATAGTTTACTCATCATTGGTTTTCATTACATTGTAGCCGAGAAACCAATGCTGCTATCTCTTTGCTGAAGAAATTCCCTAATCTGGATATGGAAGCTCTCAGACAGAAGTATCCCAACGCAAATATAGAAAAAGCACTGAGGTCTAATAAGCTTAAATATCACGGTGTGGCTTCTCGTTATGAATGATATATTGTTTCTGTAAATACTTCGCTGAATATCATTGTTTAAACTGAAATATTATAACTTACATTAATTAACAATAATATTATTAATAAAATACGTTGTTTAATTTTTTACTATTTTATTTACCATCAAACTTCCAAATTTCTTTTATTCATCCAATAACCACGATATTATGACTGATGTCATACTATTTTGTATGGAAAGTAAGAAGTACGGTGTGAATGAACCTGTTTCATCACGTGTGTATTATGTAAGTACACAAGTTGATGGGAAGCAGGAAAATAATTGTATCTTAACAAATTGAATTTCATTACTTGTTTTGTATAATTTTATTGTTGAGTTTCAATAATTATCACTACATTTTTGATCATATACTTAACTGCTGGTTAGATGATGTGATTCGGGTACACTGACAAAACGCACACCAAAAGTCATCGACGCGAAACTCCGGTGATTGTGTATATAACCATAGTACATAGAATCGAACATGATATTATGCAAAACTTTATATTATTTTAGATTCATTTATTCAATAGAAACGTATTGCAATTGAATTAATCGAGGCTCGATGGTAAGCTTTATTCAAACGAGGATAACCCAAGGGAAACCAACGTTTTAATTATCCAACTGGTAAACCTTGAATATGCATGCCTATAAAACAGCTGTCATCAGTTCATCATGAATTTTCAACAGATTCAATATATCTCAATTCGTTATGTACTAACTAAAAACGTTCTATCACATATCGTGAGTAATTTTTTACGTGCAGCGTATAACCCTCGCAACGTGGTGTATATAACATTGGCGTATAAGCCACTGTTCGTAACATTTTTATCACAACAAAAAAACAGTAATAAAATATTTAAAAAATAAACTATTCAACTTAAAGCTCAATATTACATTGATTTAAAACTTGATCCAAGTTTGGGTGTTTATGTTTGAATATATGTTAGAAACCCACTGGCACAATACGAGATGTTCGTATGGAATAATATTAAAAATACTGCTATTTTTCCGTTAATCATTTGTAGTTTGAAGAAAGGAATGAAATTTTTTCTTGGCTAATATTGGCAACGAAAGCACCTTTAATATGTATTATGTAACGTATGTGCGAGTCGTGATAAAAACTGTACAATTCGAGACAGTTATACTTTTTACTTCCTCAATCCATCTCGTATATTCAATTTTTATTATGATTAGAAGGCGATGATGCAAAAAATATAATTGCTAAGGCGTTTTTATGATAATGACTACAGAAAGATCCAGTTGATCTTTGTTACACGTCAAAGAGTCTTGAAACTTTTCACTTTTCTTTATTAAAGAGCTGTCTCTCAGTTTTTGAAGCTCAACTTCACGCACTTACACAGAAACTGTCGTATATCCAATGCGCAAAAACACTACTTTATTTTTCACATAGTGCTAGAATCAACTACTTCGCACTCTGTGCAGGTACTCGAAGTTGCACTTCAATCAACTCTGTATTAAAAAGCATAAATTACGCAACTTGTACGCACTCGTGCGAAAATACCCGATTTGTTGCGTAACATAAGTGAAAGATTATAAGATTCTTATGATTGCACAGATATTTCCGATGATAAATGCGAGTAAATATACATAGACACTTACGCGTTACGATTAATCACTTTAATGCGTATGATATTTATATATACAGTCTCAATAATTATAAATATGTCACGAAACTTCCTATAATAGCTATAACAAAACTTTGAATTCACAGACGCATGCAGTTCCGGCTTTGCTTTTTGTTTATAACAACATTCCGATTGAGTTCTAACGAAAACCTGCCCACGCGAAGAGCGGCAGTAGTGCCGATACTCGAGTGTTTTTTGTGGCTGAAAGAAGAGAAAAAAGTACTTTAGCAGTGGTCGTACTTAATTGGTGGAGAAAAATGAACTCACTTCGTCGTCGAGTACCGCAAGCATNCGATTCTAGAGATTCCATTACATGTCCCAATAACACGAGAGCACTATATAATTATATATATATATTGGCCTAGGTAACACAACGATTCAGCGTATACAGAAGCGACGATATGAGGTACGAATAGTACTATGTATAGTTTTTTGGTTTTGCCGACTTGTCACTCCCCCCCCCACCCCTCACACACATTGTTTTCAATGAAAAAACAACGACTTGAAGATCGCGCCGATCTCAAATCTGTCGAGTAATTTTAACTGCTAATCTGTCTCCGACGGCAGCAGGTGCTGCCAAGCCTGTTCGAGGGCCTTGTTCGCGCTCGAGCACCGACTGTAGAGTTTCTCCTCGGCCGGTAAACTGCTCACTGGGAACTCCCCCTGCGAATTCGTGAAAATCCATTTTCAAACAACAATTCAACTTTTTGAGACACATTTTGAAGAAACAAATTGTAATCCCACCAGTTTAGCGTTTGTCCAGAGACGCTCGAGAACCCTCTGGAACGCCCGCTGCTCCCTGTGGCTCGAAAAGTACACGACCCAGTCTCCGCTGCTCTCGTGAACTTCTCTGCATGCAAACTCCTGGAAGAGAAATGTATAGTTAGGACAAATGGTACACGCCAATAAACCAGGTTGTTTATTTCAGCTGTAAACTCACCAGTATGCACCAGGACTGTTGCGAAAGGGGTACCCGGAAGGCCGAGAGGTCCTCGATGCTGGCGCAGGAGAGCGTCTGACCGCGCTGGGTACCAGGAAAGACCTCCTTCATTGCCACCAGGTGGCCCGAAGTGACGATTAGGCTGCAAGGCAGTGGGTCTCTGTTCTCGGAGCAGTCAAACAGGCCAGAGGCGCTCTGGATGAAGCTTTGCAGCCACTCGGACGCCACGTACTCGTCCGGGGCGGCGAACTGTAAAAGGCACACGAGGAGTTGTAAATCGTTCAAATAACTGGTGTTACCCAGTGGCAAGTGGTAATGGGAAACAAGTCTGAAACCTGGAAAGATTTGTTGGGTTTGAGGAGAATCTCAAAGGTGTGGGGCCGGTGCGAGTTGGGAATTCTACGGCATCCCTGGCAGAGACCGCCCTTCAGTGGTATGGCACGCCTTGGCAGCCTCTGATTACTGTCGGTGAACATGTAGACCACACCACCTTTCAGTACAAAGTAACCAGCCTCCCAGGGGCTCGCCGCCGAGGTCGAGCCTGATACGTAGCTGTGGCTCCTAAACATGAGGTCACCCTCTTTCGTGGGCCCACAGGGGGACGTCGGTGGAGAGATGTGTTCATCTTCCATGAATATCAAGCTGTAGTGCTCAATTTTTTCATCCTGAGCAACAAGATAGACGTGGAGAGGTTATTAAATAGAAGAACAATAGGCACGATAATCTTAATCTTTTGAACCTTACCGCGTGAACCGCCGTATCGGCTAAAATGGAGTGTCTGAGCATGTGCATGTCGTCGTAGTGCAACTCCTTGACCGCCGGTAGTCTAGGCTTCGACGGAGATCCCCGCATAGCCATTTCCAAATGTCCAATGAGCTCTGAGGTGGTTCTTTTGCTTCCCGTTGAAAAGAGATACTGCATTTCGTAGTCAGCGTTCGATATGAGAACCGTTTGTGCGTTAGGCCCGATCTGTGTGTCAAAATTATTAACAGTAAGTAATTACATGTGATACAAACATTGAAAAGTCAAAAAGACGTAGTTTATTCACCAGAATGACGTCGAGCTCATTGTACGGGATAACAAAGTGGTTGCTGTAGGTTAAGCCACCCTTGCTACCGGTTAAATAGAGAGTCTTATCGGTCAACAGAGCCAGCATGGGCTTGCTCTCGCCATTCGTCATGTACGAGCTCCTAACCTTGTACACTTTGTACAGCACCTCGGTCTTGTCCCTGTAGATGCTCCTCCTTAAGGTCTCCCTAACCTTGGCTCCTACTATCTCTCCACTGAGCTCCCTCTCGCCGGGCGCAGCAGCCTCTCGGATCTCCTTCGCCAGAGAGTCGTCGAACTCCTTTAGCAGGGCTGGATCTACTTTTGACCGTTTGACCAATAGTGCCATACCATGGCTCGACTTTGATGTCATTCTCCTGTCTCGCTTCGATTCGAACTTGCGTTCGGTTATGGAACGCAGGAATCGGCTCAGCAGCGACGACTTCGAGGGTGCCTGTCTCATAGCAGCTGGCTGCGTGCCGGCCGGCATGAAGCGGCTACTCTCGCCGCTGCTCAGAATTGCTGTGGTCGTGTTTCGCCTTCGCACTGGTGAGGCCAGATGACGATTATTGTTACTGTTATTGTTATTATTGTTGGTGGTGGTATTGTTGTTATTGTTGTTATTGTTGTTGTTGTTGCTACAAGTACTAGCAGCACTAACACTGCCACGGCGATCCTCTGGATTGTCCGATATCGTGGTCACGCTCTCGAGATCCGACCAGTCGTTCGAGCTTGCATACTTTCCCTGTGGGATTGAAAAAAATTACGATTACCTAATAGTTTTTTCGCTATGTTCTTATTGTTGAAAAAGTGATTTATTTCTATAAAGCTTTGAAATTATAGTTTGATGTTTATAAATTACAAGTATATCATTTCCTATGGTAACTGATGGAAAGTTTGTCATTATGAGACATTAGAATAATGCAAATAATTTGGAAGCCGAAGCCATTGCCACATGTATGATAAACAGGATGTAAAGCTATTATCGATATACATCTATATAGTTATTTATTTGCTCTGACCAGTGGTTTGCCGCCATTGGCATCGGGCAATGTGGGCATTTCAAGCTTCACCAGCGGATCTTCGTGTACAACCCCGCATTCTTCCTCGACGGTGTAAGCCTCCAGAGCCTCATTCTCCTCGAGCTCGAGCTCGATTTTACATCTGACAGGGGCCCCCATGGGTTCTTCCCGGCCTTCAGGTACGCCCCTCTCCGCCATCGCGATGCATGCACACGTCATAGCCTCCTGCACTTCCGTGTCATCTCCATCCTCCTGGTAGTTGTTCTCGTGGTCAACGCGGCCCGATTTACGTTCCGCGTCACTGCCATCAAATATGCTCAGCGACGATGTGGATGAGTAGCAGTCTGAAAAGGCGTTCCTCCTCGGACCCACCGTTCCCCTTCGTACGTAAGGCGAGTAATCCCCATTGGCACACCAGCTATACCTGCTCTTCTGCGGCAGCTCCCTCTTGACTCGCTGCTGGGCATAGCAGGTGGCACCACCACCGTAGCTCGCCGACGATGGTGAACAGCAGTCGACGTAGTTTTCGTCATCGTCGAGTTTCATCATCTTGAAAATGTCCTCGTGAAAGCTGACGCGCTTCTTGGTCTCGCTGCGCTTCTTCTTACGTTGTTGTCTGAGCTGAACCGAGACCTCTGAACTCGACGATGACAGTATGCTGCTATTGCTACTGTTGCCGTTACTGTTGTTGTTTACCGGCACCGGTGGCAGCGATGGTACCATGCTTATGGCATCGAGGATGTTGTAGGACGCCTCGGCATTATCGCAATCCGATATCGTCATGCTCAGCTCGAGCAGATTCGTCTCATTGTTTATCACGTATGAGTTGCCATGCGGGCGTGACTGGTCCGTTTTCAGGCCGGTAGTTACTCGCTTGAAACTGTAGCCGGTGCCGCCGGTGACCGGCTCGACGCTACTGTAGTAGTAGTGCGGGCTGTTGCCGTAACTAGAGTTGAGTAGGATGCCGTTGTTCTCGCAGTCCGTAGCCTTTGACGCGCAGTTAGTGTCCATTGTGTCATTGACATAGAAGTTACAGTCCTGGAAGCGGTTCGTTTGAAAATTGGTTAGGTTAGGTTATTTTATTTTATATTTATACATGTTGTTTTTACTGAACGGATACATATTTATAAAAAGTAATAAAACTGTGCAACTTTATATGGTCATACCTCTTTGTAGCTGCTGGTGTCGGTCTCGTTGGCGGCGTCCATATCGCTGTCTAACGCGACACCACTGTCTCCGGGTGATGCCAGACTCGACGACAAACTGACGGTGCGCAAGTGCAAGCTCAATGCCGTGCCCGATGGCGAGCCGCTCATGGGATGCTGTGTCATGTAATTGCAGATGTCCAGGTACGTGACGTCCTGCAATTACACAATCAGTGTTTTACTTTAACCCTGTATCGGTAATCATTTTACTAGGAAAAAACAGTAAAATGTAGCCTCTTTTCTGAATTTGTAAAAATTATCTCTAAACTAAAGTCAGTTGAAAAAAACATGGGGCATTTAAACTTTTCAAGGAACACACGATTTTTCCTTTTTTACAGGACAATAATACAACAACAAAAAAACTCTGACTGAATTCCAAAAACATAAAAAAAAATCCCAACTTTTCATCAATTCCTGAATAATACGGCTATTCAACTACTTCCATATGAAATAAAAAAGAAGTAAAAATAAAAAAGACGGTGAATCATAGTAGAGTCATAGAGTGCGTCAACACCACAGCGACAGTAAGTCCCCACGATCATTAATACTCGCACTTTTCCGTATCCAATACCGAATGAATCAAACTATTTTTAAGTCTACCAGCTACTTTTTTCCTCGTACATCTCCGTCTCTCGTCAATAACAAGTACTTTCCTTCTCTATACCGGTCTTATTCGTTTCGCACGAGATTTTCCATTACCCGCCAACGCGACCAGAGAAACGAAGGAGAAAAAAAGAAAAAAAAAGAAAAAGCGTACAATAAATATGCCCTCATAATCGTACAGAAGCTTACTGTAAAAAGAAGCGGCATTCGAGCAAATACACATACGAAGCGCGATAGCCTGTTGGCCCCTTGTAATCGAGAAAGCAGAAAACAGAGCGTCTGTATCGCCTTTGGGATATGACAAATGCGTGCGCTCAAGCTCGTGCTGTAAAGGAGCTATTTATTAGTCGGAGATAATTGTAACCAGGGGGGTTATTGCATCCGTACGTATATGTATATACACTTGTTGTGCGCGAGTGAGCTGCTCTCTCTCGCTTCTTTTGGAAAAATCATCGGTGGAAATTTCTTCGGCCCTGAATCTGTGTTACGTACACACGGGAGAGCAAGTACCGGAAAAATATTTACCACGCAATTAATACACGATGTCTCGGCTTGAAAAATAAAAAGGTACTAAAAGAATAATGTACATATAGTTTTTGCTTGATACATTTTGGTCTGATAAGCACGGCTTCGTTTACGTGTTTTTTGGCGAGACAAACAATTTGTCTTATAACTTTTCTAATCTGCACTTTCTGGTCAAACTAATCGTCATGCGCTTCTTACAGATTATGTTCAATAAAAATTTATTTAATTTCGTTTTTTACATGCAAATCATACAATTTCATAATTAAATGCAATTTAACATTCACATCACAAAGTGCAATAGCTTTGAAAAATATGTTTACTCGGCATTTATCACTTAATAACTGATCAATCCATGGTACAAAATAAATTAATCAAGTATAATAATATCACTAACGTGGATTATTATGTGTTTTTCTCACAATACCATTATTCATTCTGCTTATCAAATATCTTCATTATGTGGGGTCTAAAAACGCACATACTTTGTCAACACGTCCGTAAAAAGTATTCGTCAATCAACTTTAAAGATTAAGTGGCTATCAACCCTTGAGAAATGATAACACATTCACTCCCTAATTTAATACAGATTCAGAAAAAAATAGCAACTATCCAAGATAGTGCCATGTGCGCTATCTCGTGTTTATCGAATGTTGCGTATTTTTCATCTTCATGATTTAAGATACGTTAATTATGACAGGGAACTTTTATTAATTTAAATGATGAGCTATTGAAGTTTGTTCCACGATAGTGTAGAACAATTTTTTTTTCTTACGAACAGTACCAGATTACCATTCTGGAACAGTAATTTTTTTTCCCCTCAATGTAAATACATGTAATTTAACATTGACTGTTCTAAATTTATCTTTTGATGAAATTATAAATTAAAGTAGCGTATCGGATTAACAATCTCAATAACGGCACTCACCAGTTGCAACGTGAACGAGACATTTTCCAGTCCAACCAGCAGATTTATCAACTGGTTGGTCCTGTCGGCATCTCTGACAAGTGCATGTGGAAAGTATTGCTTCTTCAAGGTTTTTACATCTCTGAGCATACAAGCGAGATAACTTTCAAAGCTACCCTCGCTCAATGTATGATACAACCATGCTCTCCCTGCAACAGGATATTTTTTTTTTTTTTAATTTTAGTCAAGAGTAAACAAGTAATATCTTTTGCAAATTGAACAACTACGAAAATACCTTTTCCTATTGAAGTTAGGACGTTTTGCAAAGCATGGATGACAACAACAGTGTCTTGGTGACTTAGTTCTCGGGCTGTGCCCCAATAGCCGTGCCGTTCGATGCGCAAGCCATGTCGCAGGGCTCTGTCCAACCAATAGACCAGCCTGGAGTCACCATCCAGTACCACAGTACCGTGTAGGCTTTGAGCATATACCTGGAACATGTTAAATGACGCTTCGTGTACCAGTACTTTTTTTATTATAAAAAATTTATATTAAATCTAGATGAGGATAATATAGAGCAACATCTTACTCGCATAGTTTTAAGTACTTGTAACATACGTTACGTGAAATTTTCATGCAGTATCTCATGCATATAGTACAGAAAAATCACATAAGTACTACTCGTTTGATCTTGTACAATTTGTTCGTGCTGAATCTTGTCTTGCGATTTTTATGTCAGAACGGATCGAGTGTCACTCGTCCCTGCCTTCGTTAACGATACTATAATAAGATCACTCACTATACCTGTTGCGCAAAAACGCGTTTCAAGCACTTGTTATTTAAACTGTTGTTTTATATGTATACAATAATCAGTATAATGATATTGATACTATAAGTACTCTAATTTTAATCAATTAAAGATCATTCAGATCATTCTAAAAATAAAGCGTGTCAAATTTTATGGCTCGACAATAATAGATCTATAACATGTAGGAATCGACAATAAATATTGTTTATTATTTTGTATCTGTTTATACGTTGTGGTTTTACAATGATATAAGGATGTAAATACTCATAAAAATTATGTTGAAAGTACATTTTTACCAATTTCTACGTAGAACCTGCTGAATATTTACGTAGTATTTACTAACTTAGTAAGATTTTAGTTAAATTTTTATCACCAAATTATTTTGTTTACGATAAAGATACTTAAATAAATGAGTATTAACTATGATTATTAGCAAAGCTATCTTGGATCAAAAATAATCAATAAGAAGTATGTTTTTGGCGAGTTCTATACCTTAGACTCAAATGATTCCATACTGTTCTATTTACATATATATGTACATTTCAAGTTTTCATGTAAATTGATTGTTTTTGTTAGTTTAAAGTAAGATTTAGAAGGGTTCTTTTATGATCAAAGGAGTTTTTTAAAATTATTTTAATAGGTAAAAAGACGTTCTGAAACTATAAATATATAAATAACTATTTCTTTGTTTCTTTTTTTTTTTCTTTGTTACACAAACATTTATGGACAGTATCGAGCAGTTCTTTTTAAATTATAAATGCATGTATTGCATACAGTAAAAAATTAGTGATTTTGGGAAAATTCATTAGATATGAAATAGAGTGAATAAATTTTTTCAACAGAAAATTAAGAATATTTTTTTCTGATAAAAAATTTTGCACATACGTTTATAAAATTCATAAATTTAATTTAAATGCAGAATTTCGATCAAACATAAGTATTATGTTGCATTAAAAACGCTTAAAAAAACTTTTTTCTACATGTTAATGTAAATTTTAAAACAAAAGGTTAAGAAGCAATTTAGCATAGACGTATCGAGCTGCAAAACGTATCTTTTCTTTTTAACAACTCATCTTTTGCTTCAAATTCAAACATTACATTAAAGTACTTAAACTATTCTGTAAATATTAACTTTTCTATCTAAATATTTTTTCCAAATCTGAATGGCAGTTTTAATTTAATCCGAAATTCAATTTTCTCTTAAATTAGATATTTAATGTACTAGTTAATCTACTCAGTCTCATTTGCCAGTCTTGTCATTGGATGTCACGCATCTGATACATATATTTATAAAGAAAAAGCAAAAGAAAAGTGCTGGGTCTGATAGCTGATGGTACGAAAATTGACGCTACCAGATTTCATTTTAAGTTGGGTATTAATATTGTCGAGTTCTTTCTTTGTTCACTTTGTCAAAAAAAAAAAAAAAAAAAAAATCCAAGGCCAATTAGATCAACTTAATTTGTTATTTTTTAGATTCCAAATTTCCTGACACGCCAATCTTTATTTAAATAATATAGTTCATTACATTAATTTTTTCATTTATTTATAAATCTCATCTTCCACCACAAGACACATACCAGATATCGATATTAATAATGTCACTGGGTACATTTAATAAAAAAAAGTAATCTGAAATTAACTGCAGACACAATAATGCAGATTTTAAAAATATGAAATACAAATGTAAAAGCAGAATATTGTTTTAATTACTTTGTTGTATAACTCGAGTAGAATGTTGACGTACTGATTGAGCGAGATAAAACTTAAATTTTTATATAATGAAATAATTAGAATATGAAAAGTAGATAATAGATTGAGGTAGGATTAATTATTATATTATCATCTGCATAATTTGAACATTCCTAGTGAAGCATCAATATCTTTAATGTCGAAAGTTTTTGTTCCTGACTTTTTTTCGTTGAAAAAATTGTCTTTCACCTATTTTTGTTTATTGTTCTAGTAGGACATTGCAAGAATATGTTGCACATGACATATGTATTGAAATAATTTTCTCCATCAAGTCACAAAGAATAAAATGTTTTAACATTAAAATGTATGAAATATGTCAGCTGTTAGGTACCAACAGTAGTGCAGTATCTTTGACGTAAAAAAAAATCTACTCTTTTTTGTTCTCAAATCATAAACACAAGATTTTGAGGTTATCTAAAACTGCAGTATTAAATGACCAACTCACAATTCATTAACATTTTCTTCCAACAGCAATTAACGTATCTCTAATATGAGTTAATAATAGATCTGAGATAATACACCCAAAGGTGAGTACACAATAAACAACAAAACTCACTCACTAGATTCACTTTCACACGTTGTTATAAACAGACATTTTACTCTGCTTTGACTATTCCACACTCCACATGTACCTATGTAAGCACAGTAAAAACACCTTATGGAATTACAATGCAGAGTACGACTTGCACTTCTAACTGTCACATCACAACAGTCGACGCTCTAAGGCTTTGTTTAAACGGACGTAGGTGTAAGTGCGGAATCACACTCTTGAAGTTTAAAAAGTCGAGAGAGGCGTTGGCGAAACCTATCTCTCACGAGTGACTATAGCGTGTAGCATATACTTATTAGCCTTGACGTATGACGTCTCGTTAAAACCATGAGATACATGTTCGGTCTACACTAGCCTTATCTGAGGATTTATCAGGATGAACAATTAATAATTACATCGGTATCGCAAAATTTTATAAGTAGTTTTGTCCAAAAATTCAAGCAAACCATGTTTTGCTATTTTTATCAATGTATCTAATTATTAAGTAATATGCAAGTAAGTTTGATTAACATCTATAGTTCTTAAAACTCTTTTATGATACTAAGTAATTCAATGATTGGAATTATTCGTTTTCTAAGATGTAATCGATTATTTGGAATCGACATTTTGAAAACTTAGCTCTCAGAAATCGATTCTTTTTTAAATAATCGACTATTTTTCTCCGTCGAGGCGCTGCTATCGATTCTTCTAATTATGATTTTTTTACGTTCAAGATCTTGGTTTTTAGACTACGTTGTAAGTTGTAACAAAATTAAATTGGTATTCTGATTAACAATGAAAAAAATATAACGATAACAATTAAATAATTAACAATTAAAAATACACGTAATAAAAACCTATTTATATTACGGATATCTTCATTTTTTTTGTACCCAGCTATTGATATTTACTCTACTATTTACGTTGCTTTAACGTTAATTAGTGTTACGTGATAATAAATAGGCTTGAGTCTTGAAAAATCAGTTGTTAATGTAAATCCACGAGTAGATTTTTAATTTAAATGCCATCAATAACTTTGTCTATTAATTTTAATAAAAAATAAAAAGAAATGATCAGAAATAAAAAAAATTGTTAAACCTGTAAGTATAAACAATCAGTCTTAGGTACACTAATGTTTCGTTGCACTCATACTCGCACATCTTCATTAAAGAGATGCAGTCTTTTCATGAAACTTTTAATAAAACGAAGCTTTTGTACTTTCCGCTTTGCATCTACTTATGAGGCATACAATAATAAGAAACAATAAAAAAAAACCCCTTAACTCTGGAAACTGTAATACAACGAGCATCTCCGACTCTCCTGTCAAGTGAATTGACTTGCAAATCGATAGCTTACCCTACGTCCTAAAAACCAACCAAACACAAGATTTTCTAGTGTAAAAATGTAAAAAATAAAAAAACCCATGAAAAGAAAAAAAAAAAAACAAAAAAAAACGACTTAATACAAAAATAATAGGATCGCTGCCAAGCACAAAAGCTTGTTACGATGGGACTTAAAAATCCACCCAGAAGCCCATAACCCAGGTATGTCCAACAAACGTGACAACCCCGACAACCATCCACACAAGCTGTTAATGAACAAAAACCAAGAGCCCCTAACAAAAAAAAACGAAAGACAATCCAAAGATAACAACAAGTTGTAATAAAGAAGAAAAAGAAAATCCATAGAGCTTGATACTCACGAGCTTGACGGCTCTGGTGAGCTCTTGCAGTATCCTGCCCTTGGACAAGACCTTGTCGGTGCAGAACTCCATGTCCACGTCCTGCTGATAGCCCGGCATCTTAACTTTCGCCTTTGCCCTTTTTTTCAAGCCATCCTTTCCATCCGCGTGATTATTACGACGATAATGACAATTCGCCTGATCAACTTGTTCGGTGCAGCCCACGACGTCTGGTGGCTGTGCTTGCTGCTGCGACGACGCACACCGCGCGTCCTCCGCGCACATCAGCCGCATCGATCCTGAGCTCAGCTTGTGAGACTGTGGACGTTGATGTGCTCACGTACACCAGCTCGTTCGTTGCACGTGGGTTATATAGGTAAGCCGATGCTTCTGCGCGTCGATGGTGCGAGCTTTTTCTCGCGCGTAAACTTCGAAAGGACCAACCTATTCTTTTTGCTCTCGGTGATTGGAAATCTTGAGATATTTATTGAAATCGCGTCATCTATTTCGAAAATCGCTTTGAGCATAGAAAAGTATGAGTAGCGAAATCGGTAGGAGATCGGTAAGGTTTCGATTTCTAGTGTTGAATGAACAAAAAAGTTGTTCGTTGAAAAATTTTCCTGGATCGAGTGTACAGAATGGTCGGTTCAATTTCACCGAGAGGAAAGAGTGATCGGTATATGAGTGTAGGAAAAGGTATAAAACGGGCAAAAGCGGTGATGCGAGCTCCTTGACGACTCAGGGAGTACTAATGCCGTAGAATGCAGTGACCAGTATAGTTGCCGGGTGGGCACAGAAGGGATATGTGATAAGCTGTTGTTTGCGAAATTGAAGCGTAAGTGTACCGCAGTACGTTAGCGTTACGCCGATTTTTAACCACTGGCGATTCGCGCATCGCTGGCGCGAGCCTCCTCTTTGCTGTGTCGGCAAGATAACGGAGTTGGGCTGGCAGAAAATAGACGGAGTGAAAGATAGTAGTGGTGCAGATTTTTTTTCACTTCTTTGAGTAAGATGATATGTGTTTACGTAGATGCGGTGAAGTTTTCTACTGGCTCGGGTGCGGATGACGAAGGGAAAGTTTTGCATCCTTCAAAGAGTGCAAGTATATCTCTGATGAGCGTTTGACTTCCGATGAGGGGCGGGTGGGAACTTCTCGAGTTGGTTTTATATCGGGTGTACTTACATTTTGCTTATCCGACGATTAATTCTATTAATATTTCAGTTGAATATGCATTATTATTCTTTCATTCAATTTTTATAAAAAAACACGTTATCATTTTCAACAGGTAAATTTTATTATTCTATTGGTGCCGAATTTCTTACTATACTTTATGTCACACGTGCTCATATAAAATTTAAAAAAAAATTTTAATTAACCAATTTTAAAATTTATATAAATAATTTACTATCAAATTAAATAAATAAGTAAAATCGTGTATTATAGAATGACCAAATATTGACCAATTAATCATTTAAATACTTTGTTATACTCGTATTTATATTTTACCTTAAACACGACAAAGTAGATGGGCTATTGATCCAATAAAGTCCTTGGTACTTTAGACGATAAAAAAATTCTCAAACATTCTTATGAGAATCGAATACTTGACCTTTAGAATCTCAGCACTTCTTTTTATCTGTTTACTTTGAAAATTTAAAATTACGTCTCATTACACATTGAAATGATGAGTCAATGCAAGATATATCTGGACACGAAAACATAAGATAAGTGCAGACCAATCGTCCCACTAGTAGCTGAAAATAAAATATCATTGAAAAGACGACGGTGACTTAAAAGTTCGATAAAAATTAAGGAGGAGTAAGGCCCTCATATCATAGTAATAAAACTGCATAATCTAATTAAAATGTTTGTGAAGTCGTATATTAGATTTGTATGATATAAGCATTATTTTTCACCAGTATGAGCACAAGGTTCAAATTGTTTTAATAAAAATATTTTAAATTCTACAAGTACTGAAACGGTTAAAAATGTACACTCAAATCAGGTTGTTGGTCATAATTATAAATAAAATTTGAAGTAATCATATTACTCCAACAATAATGTATTGGATAGAAAAATCCAAGCATAAGATTTCATGAAAAATTTAACAAGACTAACAGTTGTGTATGTGCTTATGTACTAACAGCTGCAGGTGAACTATTTTCTACATGTAATAAAAAAAAATTTTTTTTTAAAGTGTTTCGAACTTAAGTTACTGCTTTCCAAGTTTTTTATTTTAAAAATATCGTACACAAATTAGAATCATAATTTTCTTCTATGTATTCGTTTACGTTAGTTTATAAATTTATCATATTAACTAAGTACTGTAAATGAACGAAGAAACAGTTTTTTAATTATTATTAACTACTGAGAGAATACTTATTTTTAAATATTTATACTTCGTTCTTTAATGTTAATATTAAAAAGATGATTGTAGCAAATAAATAATACATAATATGTATATTATGTTAATTTTTTACGATCAAACCCTTTTTTTTTTAATAAATGTGTAAGACTTGATCTTCCATAATTCTAATTCTTAAATTTTATTTTAAAAGCTTTTCTTTTAGTATTATAGTATAAAAACCATTATTTTTAGTCCAAAAAAATTTTGATTTTTTTTCACAATTTTTTTCGACTATATAGACTTCAACTTCCGGCATAAAAAGGTATATACGGAAAATTACATCCTAAGGTTGGTAAAACTTTTTCCTATTATTAAATTTTCTACATCAAAAACTATGAGGTAGTGATAAAAACAAAGAGCAGTCTTGCCTAAAAGCACTGAAAACTATCCAAGTGTTTCTCTCTCAAATGCACTGCATTTCTCGCTTAAACTCACAGAAACAGCCAACAGTCAGATTAGGCAGAAGCTGACATGTCTTTCAAAGTGTCGTACGAAAGATAAGCAGCTGTTACTACCGGCTAACGTGCCTCCGAGAAAATGTATGATTGGACCAATGATGTCGATCACTGGTACGATTACATGCGTACATCCATACTACAAGTATGAAAAAAAGCTCGACGCGACATACTGATGCGGCAGTATCGTGACGAATTGAATACACACAGATGAGAAAAAAAGCACAAAAGAAGGGGGAATAAGACAGTCAATTTGTGCTTTTGGTGGAAACAAGGCAATGCCCGATGCTTGCGGGAGAGTGGCGCCCATCCGATATATGTAACAGGGAAAATTAATAGATACGGGGGGCGGGGAGGCATAATGCAAATGTAAATATGCTTGTGTAGTGTAAATGAGATGCGCTAAGGGTCAAGTGACCCTACGCACACATGTTCTATCTCTTTTATCTCTAGCTTCTATAGAGGTCTCTTATCGTTGTGTTCGGCAGAAGAAAAAAATTCCCAACAAAGTTGCACTCGGGTATCATAAACTAGTACCATGCTTGTTTTTTATCAGTTTATCATCAAAACAGTGACCTCGCAGGAGGTCACATCGACTCGATCCCAAGGTTTTAAATCATTCAATTGAATCTTAATTTGTGTTAGATTTAGGACTGAATTTAATCTTTAAATCGTTTGTATTTCAACCGAAAACTAATTTTAATTGTCACTTTAATTTATTGGTATACCATAGTAATTAATGGACAAACTGTGTTAATAATTAATATAGTTTCAAATTAATAATTACATTTAATTAGATTAAATTTAATTAACAATTGGTGCTTTGATTCAAAATTTAATTGATTATTTAATGGATCTTGTTTTCATTAAGAATTACATTGTATTCGTAATTAACTGTCACTTCAGCTAATATGAATTTAGTTTTATTCGCTATTATTACGTATTGATAGTTATAATATCTTTTCACTAAAGATTATATTTCAATTATAAATATTTCATTGAAAAATCAAGTGGTTTTAAATTATGATCAAGACGTGACTCATTAATTGGTAAATTGAATTAATCGTCAATAATTACTGGATTTTTATCTTATAAGATTTGACAGTTCTGAATGTGGAAAAAGTTATGATAATGTAGAACAAATCAAAAGATTATAAATGTTTCTTGAAAAAAAAATTAGTAAAAAAATATATTTTTTACTTGTAGCTTTTAAGGGACACCTAAAAAAGCAAACTAGTAAATACAGATATAATGGAAAAAACGAGAAAACCAAAACGAATTTATAGAAAAAAAGCAGTTTCATCGGCCATTATCGCATGAAAACTTCCACGTTCTATGGAAACACGCACTTCATGCTATTTTTGCTACTTGGAGGGTATTTATTATTTGCTTCATAGATAATTTTTGCTGTCCAAAGGAAAAGATATCCAAGAGTTCAATTAATGGAGAACATGATAAAATTGAACTAATAATATTATGCAACACATTAAACTAAAAATAGCTAGAAGATAGACTTGTGCAGTAAATAAACCTACAACTTGAATCACAGATACTTAACATCATTCATTTTTAACAGTCGAAGATTATCATGCGCTATGGTTAAATTAGTGAATGTAATTTTAAGAATTTCGTAAATCATTTAAATCCTTTTGTGATGCTGTTTTATATTTATTTTACAAGTACGTAATGTGGGCTACAGTGTTAATATCATTATTTATTAAAATATTTCTCTGAATGTTATAATATTTTGAATGAATCATAATTTTCTGACTAATGTGAGACATTTAAAAAGTGTATATTCTTGCATTTTCTTGCTTATTGTTAGAATTCCAGACAATGTCAATTTTTATACCATGAGTACTCTATTTCCCAATTTTTACCTTTTTACTCTTCAATTTCTTATTCAAAAGTAACACCCTATGATTTAAAAGAAGTTTTAATCAACTATACAAAAAAATTAATCAACTATTTATGAATTTTTTGACCTCATCAATGCAAAAATATGTCTATCATAAATTACCCAATAAATTGTAAGAGGCTTCTGAATTGTTTGTTGCTATTGGAAGTGTTATGAACCCCGCAAATGAATAAAAAATGAAATAAAATTCAATGAATAGTAAGAATTTAAAAAATGGAAAATAGAAATGTGAAGAAGATTTGTGCTGATTAACTGTACATTAATCATTTTTAGATACGCAATTTCTATCGACTGAAAATTTCTTTTAATTATTTTATGTTTTAAATAAAAATAATAAGCCAACAACAATACAATTTTAATTAACATTGTAAGTAAGCAGTTTGCTATACTGCTTAGCTAAACTTTCTCACTTCACAAAATTTGTTGAATAAATTTAATAATGCATTAATACCTAACATTCATTCGAA